TATTGACATATTTGATTAGAGTAAAAGCACTAAAAGCGTGAAATAGAACTAGAATGAGATCAATAAACCTGTGAAACCAAATCTTACTATGAAAGTGTGAGTCAAATAGGCACAACAGAAACCAATGTAATTGTTATACCTTAGCGTACTAAGGTATATTAGTGTAATATCTATTTCACGGGTTTTAATGACTTCACAAAAAATGCTTTAGAGTGCAATATGGTTAAGAAATATAAAACGTCGCTCGTGTCTCTGTCCTCTGATATAAACACGGTGGGAGTTTGAAAAACACGAGAGAAGCAAGCTTAGAAACACGAGCGTAGCGAGTGTTTCTCTTGCTTCTCGAGTGTTTTTGCCGGTAAGCCGTGTCTCTGTCCTCTGATATAAACACGATCGTCAGCCAATCAGAGCGCACGTTATAAATCAAAAATTTTATAATGCAGATTATTACCATGGTGGTCTAGTGATCGGTGTGATCCTACGACACTCTTAATTAGTGATATTGTCAGATATATCGTGCTCAGTTCTGACATCACTAATTAAGAGTGTCGAAGGATCACAGCGATTTACTAGATCACCATGGTAATAATTTCTAAGACATTCCTGGCATCAAGCTATGAAATAAGTAAAACATAGTGTAAATAGACAAAGAAAACCACAGAATTCGCATGATTCAATACAAGTTAGCAGTATGTATTTATTACTAAACCAAGGTTTTAATGTTACACTCTAATAAAAATGGGACGAAGTATTTAAATCTAACAARAGTGCAAATGACAATCAGTACCTGGGACAGGACGTGTCCTTTCACGTGCTACCCAAGCAAAATCACCAACTTGTAATTTACGAACGTCAAATTCAACACCTGTGTGTTAAAAATAATAAGAGATGCAAATAAATATTCAGGAGTAGTAATGCTGCTGAAAGACAACCTTTTTAAGATTCAAGAGTAGGTTTGATCGTTCGTTGTATTCGCAGACGGTTTAATGGGGAGCAGGTGTTTCAATTGCATAACCAGAGCTACATGTACACACTTGCACGCTCAGCTTCAATCGTTGGTATTACGTACGCGCCTGGGGCTGTAGACGGAGACTAGTCAGTACTAAATCTCCTATATACCAGCAGCCAGGCCCGTAGTATACAGGGTTTGGGGAGGGGTTCGGACGAACCAGTGGCCAGTTCTTACACACTATTCCTGTGCACTGAACTAATTTAGTCAAACATTTAATTTAGGTCTGTATTATGAAAATCAAACCCCCCATTTGTAAGGTAGCCTACGGGCTTGCCAGCATATATGCATGCACACGAAACTAGTGACCCGTGCAACTAGTAACACACGCCACTAGTGACTAAATAGCCAAGACAGTCTGGACAGACTCAATTTGAAGCAATTTAGAAGATTTAAGAGAAATATCAGTATTATTATATGACTCTAAAAGCACTTCATCTTATCCCTCATGGAGAATTATAAAACAACTTACAGGGATACTACTCGCGTTCTGATTGGCCGAGTACTGCGTTTTCATAAAAGTATGAAACATGGCTTTGACGTCCCCAGCTTTTGCGAATTTCAAAAAGGAAAAAAAAAATCAGCTATTTTGTCAAAACCATGTTTCATACTGTTACGAAAACACAGTACTCGTCCAATCAAAACGCRCATAGTATCTAAGTTATTTTATAACTAAAAAATAAAACATTTTCCCGTACCTTCATAGCGCTATGCTTTCTCGTGCTTCACTGATCAGCCCTCGAATTCCCCTAAACGCCGACGTTTTCATAGTGCTATGAAGACACGGAATTTTTTTTTCTATTTCTCAAATACAAGTGAGGAGAACTTCAGTAGACTTACCATTATTTGTGAGTTCTTTGACAAAAGCATCTTTTCGTGATCTCTGGGCTCCACCAGTGGTTTCAATAAAGTCAACACACAATACAACATCAAACGTTCCTATTTATTGAAGAGAGTATATTACCATGACAACTTTACTTTTGCATGGATAATTGACGAAATAGTACACTTYTATTTTCACGGAGTTGAAATAATTCCACCTACATTTACTCTACCTGGTGGAGTAAYTCTAAACTGGAGAGTTAAATCTACTCTTTGCGAGTAGTTTGTACTACATAGGTTTAAATAGACTACTCGAGCGGAGAGTCAAAGATACTCTAAAAGGCGCTCTTAATTGCTCTAAGGATTTAGGAGTCGAAATTATAGGAAAAGGAGTTATCGGATACCTTTTAATTTACTCCTCTTTATCAACTCCTTGTGAATAACAGTGCGAAGTTCTCGTATTTCCGATATTCAAAATTTCCAAATTTTCTGCCCTCCCCACCCTCTTCGGTGATTGTTAATCCGACCAAAATTATGCTCCGTAGTCACAGATACATGTACATGCGCACGCGAAGTTGTACGACGGTAGGCCCTACAGACAATGCATGGCCCCCTCGAAGAGATTGTTGTTCATATCAACTATCACCTTTTTCAATCAGAAAAGASCAGTTTCTATCAAAGGATGAGTTAGCGTTGGGCTTCCTGTGCTGTCTCAAAACACACAGGGAGCCCAACACATTACGTTCTGGAATAATGTATGCCTACCTGGTTTCAGAACAAATTCAGATTCAACGTCCTGACTATTATTGCTRCTGCTGAAAGAATAAATCAAAAAGATTTGAGAAATATTATTTGATATTKCAAAAGTTAAATTACTAATGAGATTCTGAGAAGAAATACACTGTGACTTCGTTTCATACTAATTACATGTATTCTAATTAGATTCAAAAGTATATCAACCCTTAATTTAGTGACGACTTGGAATAAAAAAAGAAACACTGTAATAACATAACTAAAAGGAATTTGATGTGTTTGGTGAGAACAAACAAGTTAGCCATAAAAATTGCTAAAATSTGCAACTGTAKCCCCACGAGAAAACTGGTAATTTATSTTRCYRTGGTAARAAATTGTATAAGTCTTACCCTTGTGAATCAGACTGACTGCATGTSTCTAGTACATCTGGCATAGCTGCTTCAGAATGACTTGATCTGACAGACTGTTGAATAGTAGTTTCGGCTGTGAAAACTGGAAGGTTTTGATCTGAGGGCTGAAGCAAAATAACATTATTTTACAATCAATTCCTAATTTTAGGCTTGGCTTAGGATTATAGTGGACAAACCTAGACATATGTATATATAGAAAAATAAAAGTAAATCATTTAAATATTTTTTAAGTTTTTAAAGTGCGATTACCAATTGGTAMCCATTTATGAAATTAAATTTGCTTTGAAAATGAATACAGCATAATGTAAATTACAAGGTGAATWGTATGATCAAATGGTTAAGGATCATTATAGAGATACACCAGRCAATGATAGAAACCTTCTTTCACACCTACAGACAATTATTCACAGGTATCTATCATTGCACACTCAGGCTGTCTTGCTTCGATGTAAAGACACTGCAGTACGTACATGTACCTTTCAAAAAGATAGCACAGGAAACCTTGAAGGAGACTATTCATTCTTATAGTATTTCAGGGGTCACTTAATTTGTGTTGAAAATAAAATTATGCTAATGAGCAGCAGCCATTTTGGSAAATGGTGTATTGAGTCCTGAAATTTTTGAATGGAAACCTACTGCTTTATTTAACAATGTTGGACAGGAGGGAGGCACAACATCACTTGAGCTGCTTGCACATGTTGATGAACTTGTAGATGTACTGGCAGCACCAAACCTGAATCCAATTCCTGATGAACTAGATCCCTGTGAGTCAGTGGATACATGTTCTAGTTTCTCAGCTAAATTACAGCCCTCTGTAGTGATTGAGTACTTGGCTGGGTTGCTACTTTTGACCACAAATCCTTTCTTTGTTAGTGTTGACATTGATGACCAGGCAGTGTACCTTGAACCAGGATCAGGCTAACATAATATAATAAAATAATATGAATGTGATACTCCACATTAAAATATTCATGAGATATAGGAGGTCGTCCAGATATTGTCTTGAGCGTTTGTTTTTTTTCAAAAAGTTTTAGTAAGCTTTTAGATTTAAAAAAATACTAACCAATGTGAATGATTTGTCACTCAAAGGCTGTGCYTCTCTTAGAAGCTGGTCTTTAGTCATGAACCCTCTGTTATTTGCTTTCTGYAACATGCAACAATACAGGTCTTACTTCACTAATTTCAGAAAAAAATATATCTCAAATAAAATATATATGCAATTGTAATCTGGCTTTATTTTATATTCCAAAATATTTTTTCTTACAGCATAGTACATCATATAGCTCCCATACATTTGCCCACATACCTGACTGTCTTGGTAGAGTGTTAAGAGCAAAGCATAYGCTCCTGTTCTCAACCCTGGTACATACTCTTTGGATCCCTTTGCCTGGACAACATTAATACAAACATCAATACTATTGCATTTCAGTAAACACCATGAACTATAATCAAAGTAAAAGTGTTGACTAGTTCTATGACATAKTCTAATAGTGTAATACTTTTCGTGGATGAGCCAGAACCATTTATGAAAGAACATKTCAAGGTAATGCACACAGTTTTGACTGAAAAAGATGGTAGCGACMAGGCTATGCAATCTCTTAATAGAAAATGTGTACAATACCTTGCCATGATTTGTTTGTTTTGCATTTGTTCKAGCAGTACTGCTGACAGAAGATGTTGCACTTTGATAACTTGGTAGTGGAGGTACATTAACTTCTAACAAAAATACATCATTAAGAATAAATATTTATTATTTATCACTAAATTTTATCATTCATTAAAAATTAACTCTTTTCACTCATTTAATACAATTAATTATACTTAGATAACTGAAATAAAACTGGTCTTTAAAATTAAGAAAGCCCTTAGATCTGTAATGCATCCGTCAAATTGCAAATCCCTGCTTCAGGAAATCGTAACTTTATTTCCACAATATTTTCCTTCATGGTCCCCTATCTCATCTTGGATAGTAACCATACCCTTGAATCAAAGTAGAATGACATTGCATGCTTTCTAAACAGTCCCTTTGATGGAAGGGCACAACTACCTTTCAAGCAAGATGGCACAAGGAACTATGAATTAAAAAGACTATGACCGTGTCCAGGGAGGGGTGAGGGGGGGGGGGGGGGGGGGGGGGGGGGGGTTTGAAGAAGACTGTACCTACATAATTATATATGTCAGGGGAGGGGGAAATGTAAGAGGACTTTTCCACTATACCCATGTCAGGGAGGGATTTTCATTGACTAATTCTGAATACCAATAGTACAAGAATAAATACCTGATATGTCATCACTCCCAGTGCAGAGTGCCTCATCAAGCTTCTTGGCAATGCTCTCCCCTTTGAAGTGGAGAATAGTATTGTTTAGGTTTAAAGTTGTACTGAGGAACTCCTGGTTCCAGATTCGCATAAAGAGTTATAAACCTATTTCCGATCGTTGTGTTCATCTAAGACCTCAGGGGGAGGGGTGATCCTAAAATTAATTGTTCAGCTATAAAAATAGATCAACACATACCGATTCCTTCTAAGATCATTGCTTCTCGGCCACTTTGTAATGGTARAGGGTACTTTTGGATGGACGACAAAGCCTATAAAATAAACATATACTTACATTCATTTTATATATTGACCACTGGCGAAAGCCGACCTGCACGTTTGTAATAAGAATATAACTTACTTAACTTAACTTACTTACCTTTCCATAAGCATGTTGAAGTTTTGAACCTTTTTGCCGCGCTTCGTCTCTCCATTCGGTCAAAACCCTTTCAAATAAAGGRTTGGGGCAAGGTAGACTATTCTTGGATCTTTTTCCCATCAAACAGACTCAATATGAATTCACATAAACAAGAAATTGGTGAAATAAAAATCCGGGAAAAATCAGATTTCAAGTTCGCGCTAAAACAAACAAACTGCCCAGTCTCTCACTCGGCCGTAAAAAAGCCGCTGAACTAAAAGTATCGAGGACGCGTATCTTTGTCTTGACTTCGAAGGGAGGGTGGGCTTTCTTCTGCGTGGGCGGACGCACAAACTTCATCAAAACAAAAAGCTTTCCATTTGACAAATTGTCTCAACTTTCTATCAGTGAAATATTGAATATTTGTGTCGTATTTTTTTATTTTTATTTTTATAGCCTTGTGACTGACGGTATTCCCACACTTGACCAAATAAAAAAAAAACTTTGAATGAATTCAATTGCCACTAACCTTGTAAATTTGTCAAGAAAAAATGGTGTTAAATATCAAGCAAAATCATATATATGCCAATCAATCATATATTCGATGAATCGTTCTATTTTCCATACAAACCCTCAACTCTCAAATGTGAATAATTTCAAGGATTTGAGATCTCGTTCTGTGTTTTGATTGGTTCCCCAAGCTCATTATGTATTCACCGAGTAGATTTATTCCGGAACTACGAACGGATGCTGCTGTTTGCCGAACGATTTCAAAGGATCGCTCTTTTCCCCGCTTTTTCTCGATTATTTGTCTATTTTTCATCTAGATTTTAGAGAAATTTCCCTTCCTTTCACTTTGTCTTTTCAYCGATTCATMGTCCACATCCCCAAGCTCTCCATCTGTCAAAACCAAACATGAATTAAGTGATTTCACTATTCTTGGCGGGCTTATAATGTCAATGTGAATAAGATGTCTTTTGGAAGCGAAGAAAATGGAGGGAAACTCGCCGATCAAGAATAATGCCCTATTTTGTCATCATTCTCCATTCGTGGTCTTCTGTGAAGGTAAGAAAATAAGCCTAAATGAAATGCTTCTATAGCAGATTCAACTTGAAACGGCGAAATTCCGAGCGCGCGTTCCTGGTATACTAGTCAACATAGTCAATTTTTTTCAATTCACTAGTCAGTAATGCAAAAAAGTGAACCCGTTGATCTTCCTTAAAAATATAGTAACATTAACCGCTGTCTCTAGCTAAGTAAGCGGTTTTTTAGTTCGAATCTGTTAGAACGTCTCGGATTGTTATAATTTAGAGTATTTTGTAGTCAGTTTAATGCCTTAAAATCTAGAAAATCTTTAAGAACCAAGCTTTGTTGTTCTATGGGGATTTGCTCTCCGGCTTTTAAGATATCCATATTTTGACGAGATATTCAATTTGACAACAATATGGGAATTCTCATGATTTTTTCCATTGATTCAAAGTGTGTTTGGGTGAAAATCAAAATGTCTTACAAAGTGTACTCACTACTGTCAAAGCATTAAATATAGGAGTCAATGTTGTCTATTATTCATTTATTTACGTACCGTATCTCGTCATAAACATATGTTTAGAAACAGTTTTAGGAAAACTTTTATATTAATTTATTAAAAATATCTATTTTTTCCGATTCTAAGTCGGTATATGGAATTGAATGAACGCGATASTACGCTTCAAATGCATCAAGCTTACGGTCTTCGCTGTCAGCTGGCGAATCAAAAGTTTTTGTCATGAGTGGGAGTATTTTTTTCTTATATAATTCAGAATGAAGAAGGAAAAAAAAACATTGCTTCTAAATTAGTAATTTATGAAGATTTAAAGCCCAATAGATAGTAAGCAATTAACTGAAAAGAAATTTCTATACTCGCATTCAAACAGTCAGAGTATTAAACTAAAAAGCAAGGCTGAATGGCTTTGTCTTGACCAGAACAGGTGTACTTTCAGACCAAAACTCAATTCACCTCTTTTTATATGTTTTCATTGTCYAAATAGCTTCAAAAAAATCAAAAATGGGAAACTTAAAGCTCGRATTGTGTTTCATCTACGTAGTTTCGTGTGTTTCCTTGGAAAAAGCAACTTCAATTTGTAGTAATGACAGAACAATGAAACACCACGTTCGGCCGTGCAATGGGAATCGAAACGTCCGTCTCTTTAATTTACGGCTTAAAACATGCTRTATTGAAAATTTGATTTTTTTTATATAAAGTAATTTTCCCGGGAAAATAAATGGTCAGTATTCGCGATATATGAAGATTAAAAAGGCATATTATGACCTTTCTATCGTTGACTGTTGATCGTGTACTGTGATATATTGTAGCTTTAAATGGCGCGTTTCTAGGTAACATGGTAACTCTAGATGGAATACTAGAGTATATTTTTTCTTTGTTTGGATTGATAAACTAACTCGTTATTTTCATACAGTGGATCTTAAAGCTCTGACGCTGAGAATCATTTGTCTCCATGCGAGCGTTGATTGGTGAAGATTTTATTTGTTTATAAACACTTTACGCCGTGAGTTCGTAGTAGCCCTTTTTTTAAAAAAAGGGCTACTAAAGTTGCTATCCATTTTGAAAAGGCTCAAATTAAATCTAGACGTGTTTGAATAAATTATTGCTTGCATTTTATCACTTSAGACCAGTGGTGAAAGTTTGCTCGCATTTCCACTTGAGAATATCGGTGAATATAGGCGACTCTTGATTAGCAAAGGTATATTTTACGACACTCGCGACAGCGTAAATTAGCCAAAAGATCGCCATATGTCCAATCACACATATGATATCCTGGCTTCTTATTTCACAGAACACCTCGTCCTAATTTTAATAATTCTGTTGTAGCGCAATGTCATTAAAAAGCGTAGCTTGTTTGATTTTGTGGTACCGCCTGTTTTCAAATAGCTACCAACTATATTATGGACGCGCGACGCTCAATTTGACCATTAAAGAAATATAAATAAATAACAACGATGTTTAATTTTTTTTAAATGAATATTTAATGACTAAAAGGCATGGAACGCGTGCATTGATAAAATGGCACGCTCTCTCAGACTGGCTGATAACTGTGCCGATGCGCGTTATATATGACCAAGGCCCGTCCAAGCACGGCTGCTGTTTTAACGCAATTGGCTACAGCCTACAMCCTCTCTTCTGTTCGAAAACATGATGTTCTGTAAATGTGTTTTTTTTTTTTGTTTTAACGCTTTTCTTGAAAGCGATAGTAAAATTATCTTTGACATGAACATTTGCTTTCGCTTATCAAACAACTGTTTACAATGTACTTAGGGTTGGACAAGCTAAGGTCTTACGAGTTAGTTGCAAAGCCTATATTTTAAAAGCGTGGCTTGTTTCGGTTTCTTGGGTGCCCATATTTCAAATTGACTCTAGTCCACGTGCTTGGATGATTTCCTTATTCAAAGAGAGTGAAAACAACGCGAAGAATGAATACAATAATTCATAAATGAATGAAAAAATGAACGCTATAAAAGGCGCGTTTGAGCTTTGTGTCTTGGAGCGCTAGTTTTCGTGTATTATATATATGGCCATTGGCTTTCACTCTGCCATAAACCCTCTTGAAAGGTTACAGCATGTGACGATGAGCATTTAAATTCGACTGCCTTTTATKTCTGTGCTCATATGAAATCATTTTTTTTTTGTACTTGTAAATTATTAAACAACAAACGCGTTGTTGCTGTACGTTGTTGGTGATAAAGACCTGGAAGAAGGAAACGAGACAATATAATTAATTGAGGATGGTAAAACAAGGACTTACGAAAAAAATTGATGATTTATGAAAATCAAAGAAAAAGTTATGCAATATTCATGCAAGTAAAAAGATAAAAAAGTGTCAATTTTTAGGCAAATCATTACCCRTAAAGTATATTTATTTAAGAGAATGACAAGACTGTGAGTCTTGATCATGTCTAAAAAATCAGATTTTTGGCAAATACTAATTTGTTTTTTGCCAAGGAAGATTGCCGATTGGTCGGGACGAACCGTTGCTAGACGTTAAAAGCTGCTTTATAGACCGCAGTTGGCGACAGATGATAGCTTGTATACAAACCACAATAATAAAAAAAGTCAACAGCTGAAAGACGTGCTGACTTACATTTTCATGAAACTTAAAACGGTCGCCATCTTGAAATATGTTAAAACCGAGGACAAAATTGCAAATTCTGATAGAATTTCAAAAAGTGGATTTAAAATTCCAGTTATTCTAATAAAATGCACATGCTCTTCATTATATTATTATTATAATGTATAAAATTCYAGAATAAGGAACGTTATTACCTTCTTTTCTCTGACAAATTGAGGGTTTTTAGAGTTTGAATTATTGACCCAAACTTTTAAAAGTCYAACTAAAATATTTTTCTATTAGATATATTCTATATTTGCTGGTACAAATTGAATAATAAAAAGCCGTACAGTGTATAAGATCATCCTCGTTATGAGCCATCTGGTTATCCCGTGTTTTTTTTTTCAAAAACAGCAAAATTCAAGATGGCGGCTGTAATGATAGTTCTATTATGAAATACTCGTCCTTGAATTGGTATCGAGCTGATTATTGCTGGCGCCAAGAACTTTGACAAGCAATGACATAGCTAGTCATTTGGATTTATACAATTTTTTTAATGCACCCGGCATTAAAGCTCTCCAATGAGTGACATTTTTTAGTTTCAGAAGTTGCACATTTTATTCGGCTCATGCAACTCAATGTACATGATGCTAAGTTGTATTAACGCGCTCTTTCGTCTTTTATTCGTGCGAATTTACCTYTTTATGATTCTGATTATATATATTAGGTAATATAGAGTAGTTTTCATTAACCCRTGAAACAAACTTTAGCGTATTTATCGCTATTACACTTTGGCTCTTTGGTTTTTTATTGTCTCTACGCGACTATTATACGATCTATTACACTCTAATTATTATACTTTGTTTCACGGGTWTATGAAAACCACTCTAAAGGAAACTACTTTATAAAATTCAATAGTCTCCTTCACGGTTCCCTGCGCCATCTTGAAAGGTAGCCGTATAGCCGTAGCCTTTTTACCAACAGACAATTATTCACAGGTATCTATCATTGGCTCCCTCAATGGCCGTCTCGCTTCGATGCAAAGGCACGGCTATTTTTCCTAGCTGAGGATGGCTCAGGGTACCGCGAAGGAGAATATTCTTCGTTTTTACTATACATTACAGTGGCCATCTTGGATAAACTTCAACAAAGGATAATTTCTCATTAGTATCTATTGTTCATTCCTCCCTCATGGCCGCAAGATTTTTATCTTGAATCTAATGTGAATGGTTGAAGAACTATCAATTGTTACAGCAAGGACGGTACTACCATGCTCAATCGTACTGGATACTCTCTAATCTGACATTTCTTTTTATTTCAGGTTTGGTGGTGTAGTCGAATATTGTTATAGTATGCAAACTATGACCCATTCAGGTTAGTCCCAAACTGCTCACAATTTTTGCGCGAAAATGTGCCTCTTACACCTCTCTACGCCATAAGCTATATTTGCGACATTTGCACAATGGCGTCACATACTAGCAAGACCAAAATGCTAGCTTCTTTGCTCACTTTCTTTTATTGTGTAGTTATTCAGATTACCTTTCGTATTTTCTTTAACCAGATTGTTGATTTTCAATTTTAATAAGATTAAGCAATTGATACTRAATATATATTACAAAAGAAAGTTGATAAGGCATTCAGGTTTTGGTTGGTTCCTTTTTGCTTTGAAATGAGACCATCGGCGACYTTGTCTGTCGTAAATCGTGGCACGCTTTTCTTGAGAAGGTTTCCACTTCAATAAGTATTTGGTCAAAAAGCACAGGTTCCAATTATAGTTCTAGTAAATTTTAGACGTTGTTATTATATCTCCCCCTTTTCTGGATTTTCAACCCTCCCTCCTGATAAATATTGCGCAGTCCCTTACGATACTTGTAATCGTAAACATACTCCACATCCAATGCAAGTTACTTATAACCTGACACACACAAAAAAAATATTTGGGTAAAAATTATTTTTTTTACACACACAGTTGCCTTAGTGGCCGGCTTGGCCACAGGAATCCCAGTCATCTTCCTTGTCTTCGTATATGTGACGTACTGCTGCTGTAGACGAAAACAGAAGAACGAGCTTCTACAACAAGAGCCACGCCTTTGGAGAAGAGATGCCCGGACGCGTTCATCACATGATCTTTTCATCCCAGCCTATGTTCCTCGATTTGTTCAAAAATTCGTTCAAAATTCCTCCAAAAATAACAGTGAAACCTCTTCGACACAGACCTCCCCGGTTGACGACAAGACATTTTTTAGCGAGGGCTCCGAACCGTATCGAACAGCTCCCGATGATATTGGAACAGCCGATCGAGAGTGGACTGGGGGCTTGAGTGAGCTCCAGGTCCCAGAGGTRCGACGGTCATCGTTGCTTGCCAGTACCTCGAGCGGAGAAAGTTCTGAGAGCACATACGAACACACGCCGAAAAAATGCATTGGTCCCAGRTCTCCWCGCGCTGCATCGGCATCGATGTCAGATAGCAAATCCTTTGAATTCGTTCGTCCAATTCCTGTTAAGCCACTCATCACCATAACTCGTGCCGAGTCTCTTTCAAAAGACGACTTGAATGCCCGGATGGAAAGTACAAAGTATACCGCTGACAATGAAGACGTGAGGCAGGCTCATTCCGACTCACAAGTGTCRTACAAGAAACAAAGACAATCACCGGCCAAAAATGTAGAAAATATTAATCAGCCTGATCGCTCAAGATCACAAAGTACGTCCTCTCGGAGTCAAGAAGGTCAAAGAAGTGATMCATCAGCCAAAATACCAATGAATATACCTTCACAAGTCATTAGATCAAGAAGAGGGTCTAAAGGCAAAGGAATCCCACCTGGTAAAGCTAATCTAGGAAGAATTAACATATCTTTACAGTACAAGCAGACAACCTGTGACCTATTTGTTAAGGTATTGTGCAATCTTTTAGTTCGCATTTCAACCTTGTCATTTGAAATTAATATTTATGTTGATGCTTGATGATGCTTATGATAACGATTTATGATAATGAGAAGCCATGCATTCTGAACCCAAGACTCTATTCCTTCGCCAAAATGACGGGACAAGGGTCTGATGAAGAGGTTGTTATAATAATTGCTATAATTATATAGTTCACAGTAAAAAAATATGCATTCCGTTCTGTACATGCATATATATTTCAAGAAATGCTGTCTGAAAAAATGGCCGCGAATGAAAGTTGTCAAACGGCGATTGCACAACCTAAAGCAGCCATGGTTTTTGCTAATAAATGAGAATAATAACTGATTTATAACGAAATATTGTCTGTGGTGATCATTGGCTCCATTTAATCTCCATTTCAATAAGAAAGTTTAAAACATCAAGTCACTGTTCCATGCTCAACGTTTTTTGAAATAAGTGTATATACTGTACAGTTCATGCCAAAAGGCCTGTCTTGAGTGCAATTGAATAGAACAAGCAAGTAACTTGCATAAGCGTTTAGAACTTTTCGGCGAGAACTGAGGATGATTCAAGTATCAAACTGATATAACGACTACATTGCAAATCAAATTSGACAACCTTATTAGAATTGACTGTAAGAGTGCGCTTCCGTTGCTTGATGATCTTTGATCGCATAAAAGGCAGAGAAATTTTTAAAAATATTTAAAAGGCTCTCACGTGACTCTGTACTTTGATAAACATAACTTGATATGTAGAGAACTTTTGAAACAAGTAACGCGAGCGGCCCGAGCGCAGCTTTTTATGCAACATTGTCCGCACGCAATACAAGGTTTCTACTATAGCGATATATGGTCGTATGACGCCAAATAGGACTGTAATTTTGCTTTTCAATATTTCATCAGATTATTCAGGCACGTGATCTACCCTGTAAAGACCTACGCCGCAATACTTCATCACCATATGTCCGCGTGTATGCCCTGCCCTCTCGAAGACACAATCATCGAACGAACGTCATTTCAAACAACCTGAACCCAACATTCAACGAACTGTTTATCATTAGTGGACTGACTCTTATGGAAGTCCARCAGCTGAGTCTCCAAATACTTGTGATTCACAACGAGATCATATCAAGAAATGTTGTCATTGGAGAGGTGATGGTACCGTTAGCAAGCTTAGATCTCGCTGGAGGTGAAGCACAGATATGGAGAGACATCAAACCATACCATTTTCAAAATGTAAGAATTGATATTGAACTTAGCTGTCCCTCCTTTCCCCTTATCCACTTGACATTGCATCCCCTAAATACCTGTCCMCGGCCGTTAACAGAGACGGGTAAGGGACCTCTTGTCGGACAAGGGAAAAGCACAGCCGGGACTCTTAAAGACGTATCGGATATACGTCGACCATCATCTACAATTCTTATATGGCACGTAAGGACTCAGATATTTTTTTAATCAGCTAAAAAAGAATTCGGGAAAGAAAAACTATAGACGACTGGCACTTGGCACTTGGTTCACCARCCTTGAAGAATTACTAGTTTTGAAGAGCTAGTACGTCCCCAACACATACTCTCGTGAAATTATCAATCGTTTTCAATCATTCCAATGCGATTCAAAAGATTAAAGATCGGCGGCCATGTTGGATGAATGAACAATAGATACTTATGAAAAATTCCTTTGTTGAAGTTCATCMAAGATGGCCGCTGTGACGTATATTGAAAACGAACAATTGCTCAATGTTCTCCTGTAAAGTCCTTCAGTCTGCATTAGTTTGTAACAAACTTCTTTAAACTTATTTCCAGGTGCTAGGTGAGCTTCACATCTCAGTATGCCATCAACCTTTATCAAGCAGAYTATCTGTAACCGTACTACAAGCACGAAATTTACCAAAAATCAGCAACTTAAATATTGGAGGTGAGGGCAGTCTAATACTCTGACACATTTATTTGTAGAATGTTTTGTATACCACACTTGTAAATTCTCACGCGCTGATTGGCTGATTAGAGTGTGTCAACAAGAAGACATGCACACTGTGCTGACACCATCACGTCCCTCTCGACCGCTCATTAGAAAAAAAAAGGAATGATTCTCGCTAATTTCTAGACTTAAATGTTGTAAAAAACAAATTGCACACGGTTTTTCGATGTATGTCCATTTATCACCACACACTTGACGTCATAAAATGTTTAAAACTTTGCAGTGAGCCCACGAGCGCAGCAAGTAGGCCTGATGACGTCAAGAGTACGTGTCAGTAAGAGGACATATAATTCAAAACCGTGTGCAATTTGTTAAATGTATTGTAGTTTGAGTATCCGCCAAACTGGCTTTGGGCTATCACAAATCCAGCATTCTGATTGTCTATATTGAACTATAATTATACCATTGTCACATAAAATGAAGCAAAAATAGTCGAAAATATGTCGATAGAAATATTGTTCTCTATGGTCTTTTTTTTCATATTTGAGGTATAGTTAATTGGTGGATACAATTAGATCGACTCGGTTCGTGAACTACGAGCTGGTGGCATAGTACGACCGAGTAAGTCCTCATGGACAAACTCTTGGTCCATTCGAGTGCGTGGTTTAATTGTTAAATATTAGCTCATAACAACAGATTAGTTCCATGCAATCAAGAAACTGATTCACACGCGTATGAAAACTTGATGTTTTCGACTCTCGCTTAAGTTCATTGTCATGTGCGCACTTGCAATACTCCATTCCAAAAGTATTTACATTTGTCCGGATGGCAGTTGAAAGGTCGCCCAGGGCAGGAACCTTCAGTTCTACCCTTGACTCACCAGATTATTCCATATTATTAGCACTTATTTTGTACTAACTATTATTGCTTTTAACCTACAGATCCTTACGTAAAAATAGAATTATTTTCATCAAGATCACGTGTATCCAAGAAAAAAACCCGTGTAAAGAAGAAAACAGTGAACCCTAAATTTGCACAAACTTTCACATTCGACCTTGCAGCAGACGCRGTGCTGGACTTAATGACWATGACGTTTACTATTATGGTCCAGGACTCTAGCGGCTGCCACGAGCGAATAGGGCAAGTCGTACTCAGTGCCTCCTCGGACGGACCGGAGTTCGGGCACTGGTCACAAGTCATAGCAAATCCCCATTGTCCTATAGAACAATGGCACATGATTCACGAATAATTGAAAAACACAAATGAGGTAGTGGCCCACGTCACAAGAGGGGGTAGGTTGGGTCGAAGTTTTTGGCCCATGAGGGGGTAGGGGTGGATTGAATCAAATGTTAAAATCACGGAAATTATTAAAGACACAATAAGAAATAAGTGCAGTGTTTTGCGAGAAGGGAGGATGCGACACAATAACAAATTATTATTTATTACAATCCTCGAAAGCCTGCGAATTAGTCACTAGGTATAACTCGTACCGTACGCATCAGGAATTACAACTGACTTCCGTGCGTTCATATCAGATCGCCAAAATTATGAATTTTGCGCACCTTGTGTTATTTTCACATACTGTCAACATCTATGGACGCGCGTTGTAATGACAGCTGACCAACCTAGAACTTTGCCAGTAACTATAATCGAATTCGCTATCACACCCAACACAATTCCATTCGACCATACATATGTAATATTTGTGGTCAGTATTTAGAATATTTCAACTCCTTTTATCAATGCTTTATTAACAATATATATGTGCTCTTTTCGAATATATGATATCAATATAATATTGATAATATTATAATTTATCATATAATTATCTATGAAATGCCTATATTTCTCCATTTCGTATAATCGATATTTTCACTAGTGGAAAGAACATGTTATTTTAGTGAAAATAACACATTCGAGTTTTCTCTATATAATGCAAGTAAGAAAAAAGGTATTTTACGACATAATTTGCTACGCTCACTCGTGATAGATCTTTTCAACACTCGAAGATAAAATCCGTATCTCCGCGCGCCCATGTAATATCCTCTTTATATCAATAATATTGATAATATAATATTGCAATATTGACAGTTATAATTTATATTAACAATTTTACACTTTACAAAAATAATTGACTTTTCCCCTCAATCTATTGCAAAAGAAAGCTATATTCTATGACTGTGTCACATGCYCCTTTTCGCGCAACACTGCCCCAAAATTATATATAAAGCTTATTTTCTGAAAGAGGGGTTTATCACAATCCAAATCTATACTTGGATGTTAAATAAAATGTTATGAAACGTGCTTTGTAGTTCATTCCTATTGATTCTCAGCCATTGTGTGAATTGGGCGGATAAGGGGTGAGAAAAATTGCAGCACATTCCTCTTCTCTTACCCAGACCCTCCTCTGTCAAGCTCTACAGACAGTTGGGACACGTTCACACGGGGCCGTTTCCGTTTGGAACCGTTCTAGTTTTGGCGCGCGTTCACACTGGAACTGGTGAACTGGCCTCATCTGTGGCTGGCAAAGTGGTCAGATTTGGAGCCGGCTAAAAAGCCGATCCACTTTAAGGACGGGTCACTTCGAAGCATGAACGCATCCGTGTGAACACTGTTTGAATCCGTACCGAAATGTGGACGGTTCCTAGTGAACAGTGGGAAATAGAGTTTCATACATCGTCACTCCTGATAAGTATCAATAAAAAAAATTAAGCCCGACTGAAAACTGATATGACATGGATATGAAGATAAAATAAAGCACCTCTGAGGATCCCTTGGGATCCCTGTGGATATTCAGCGGTGACCGTGCATTTTACTGAGCATGCGCTTAGCGAGACTTGCTGCCATTCAGATTTATGACTTTGCAAAAATTGCCGGTAAATTCCTATTTTTCTTCCGTTTAAAGGCCCAAATTGTTATAAAATAAGTACTTAAAATAAAGATGAGTTCAATAGGCACAGGGGTAAGTATTTATTGCTTTAATTTACTTTATATTGTAGTTTCAAAAACACGCTGTAATTTTTGACTTGTCAATCTGAAGCTGATAGTGTAACTTAACTTATAGTGTACGATCGAAGTTTCATGATAGTCTTTAATGCCAATTCCTTTAACTTTCTAGTATGATCTATCAGCTTCGCAGTTTTCTCCTGATGGYAGAGTATTCCAAGTTGAATATGCGAATAAAGCTGTTGAAAATAGCGGGTAAGATTTATTTTTCATAGTACGTGCCTACTACTTCCTACACAAGTTCATGATCTTATTTCATTTCTTTAAAGTTTCTGTAAACAGTTATTGTATTTATTATATGTGTGAACCAGCACAACCGAAGCATAGGTTCATCATTATTTCAAGTATGAACCGCACT